CCCTCCTTCCCCTGAGAAGGGGAACGTGGAAGACTGGTCCTCACGCAGAAGGGAAAGCTGATCAGGACAGGGAGCTGACGCCTCCTCCAGGATGCGAGCGGCTGAAGAAACAGGCAGACAGGAGCCGCAGAGAAAGCGGATGGACACCTGCATCTCTGTGTTTCTCATCAGCTCTTGCTGGGAAAAGGAGCAAGTGTGAAGTGGGAGGGCTTCTGATAGAAGAGGAGCCACCAAGTGAGCTTAAGAAAGAAGAAAACCAGAAACTTCCAGTGGTCCAGTGGTTAAGACTCTGCACCCCCAATGCAAGGGATCCAGGTTCGATACCCGGTTGGGGAGCTAAGATGCTGCATGATGCATAGGGGCAGCTCAGAAAAAAGAAGAAGAAGAAGAAAACTAATTAGGGAGGTCAATACCAAAGGGATGGAAAGACAGGGGCCTATTTGAATCTTAGAGTTCAATGTTTGTCTAAAAGAAAACCAATGTTTAAGGATACCCACCAATGGATAGGTGTCTTTGCAAACCCCTTCCTGACACAGCATCTTGCCTATAGCAGAGCAGATGCCTGACACATGGTGGGTGGGAGGCCACGAGCAACAGGTCACAGAGTTGTATAAGAAGGACAACACCTCAATGTGAGCTCAATCCCAAAAGGCAGGCTCAGGCACTGTGTGCGTGGAGCGATTGGCACTCCCCCACCCCAGCCAAAAGCATCAGAAAACCCCCAAAGTCGGGAAAGGCGACAGAGCTGCTAACTCTCAACCTGATCCCCAGAGAGCATTTTTCATCTCAACATAACCCAGCTCAACCTCCTTCCATCACCACCTCCCCCAGGCCTGCTAAGTGTTGTTGATTTCTGCTCCAGAGTTGTCTGCCAATCCGTGCACTTGGCTTCCTCTTCCAAGCACTCCAAGCCCATCATTTCAGCCCTGGACGCCCACAGCTGCCTCTAACAGGGGCTCTGGGCTCTTGGTTTCCTCCCTGCATACCAGGAAAGGGGTCTTCTTTAAAAGCTAATCTGGCACCAATTCAGGAGACACAAGTTCAACCTCTGATTCGGGAAGATCCCACACGCCCTGGAACAACTAAGCTGTGAGCCAGGATTATTGAGCCTGTCTGTGCCCCAGAGCCCGGGAGCTGCAACTACTGAAGCACCTAGTCGGTGCTCTGAGACCAGAGAAGCCACTCTCCATAACTAGAGAAAAGCCCGGGCAGCAATGAAGTCCCATCTCAACCAAAAATAAACAAAAAAATAAAATTGAAAAAGCTAACCTGGGACCTCTCCAGTGTTTTAGTGGCCAAGATTCTGCACTCCCAATGCAGGGAGCCCAGGTTCAATCCCTGGTCAGGAAACTAGATCTCACATGCAGCAACTAAAATCCACTGCAGGCAAATAAAAAAAAAGCTAACCTGATCATATAGCTTTCCTACATAACCCTTCCCACTGCACTTGGTATACACCCAAGCTGTCAGGCCCATGCCTTCCTCTCCATCCTCCCCCACAACACTCTCTTTCCCCTGACTGCTGACCCCCAGCCATGCTGAGTCCTGTCATTTTCTAGAATAAGCCAGGCTTTGCCCACCCCAAGGCCTTTGTATTTGCAATTCCCTCTGTGGGGGAGGTTGTTTCTGCTCCTCCCATAGTTGGTTCCTCCTCATCGTTTATACTCAGGCTAAGTGTCAGCTCTCTAGAGAGGCTTTCTCTGACGTGTGTGTGTGCTAAGTCGCTTCAGTTGTGTCTGACTCTGTGCAACCCTATGGACCATAGCCCGCCAGGCTCCTCTGTCCACAGGATTCTCCAGGCAAGAATACTGGAGTGGGTTGCCAGTCCCTTCTCCAGGGGATCTTCCCGACCCAGGGATCCAACCCATGTCTCTTATGTCTCCTGTACTGGCAGGCAGGTTCTTTACCACTAGCACCACCTGGGAAGCCCAGCGCTGCATGAATAAGCTCTCTGCACACCCCACCCCAGGTACTGCAGTCTTGGCATCGTGTTTGCTTAACGCACTTGCCACAATATGCCGGCTATCTAACTGTTCCTGTTATGTCTCCCAAGAGAGAATGGAAGATTTGTGAGGGCCTGGACTACCTCTGTTATGTTCCGGGTTTCCCTCTGCACGTAGAATGGCACCTGACTGAAAGCATCTTTGTTGACGGCAAGACTGTGTCATGTACCCATAATACACCCGCCAAAGTGCTGCAGACAGGTATGTGCAGTTCACTAGACCTTCACAACCACCCAGAGGAGTTACTATGACCACTTTACGATGAAGAAGCCCAGTTAGGAGATCAACTTGTCCCACGTTGTAAAGCCAATAAATGGTGGAGGTGGAATTTACACACAGCTCTGGTGGACTTTTCTCACCATGCGGGACGGCCTCCCCATCCCTGTCATAGCCAGGAAGACTCTAGAAGCTCCCAGCTGACACCAGGCTCATTACCAGTGAAAAATGGCACTATTTTACCATGTAAAATGTGTACTTTTTATCTTTATTTAAACTTGATTTGAGACATCTTATTTAAGGAGGACTCCAAGTGACCAAAATACTCAAATGAAAGTGAAGGTGAAAGTCGCTCAGTCATGTCCGACTCTTTGCGACCCCATGGACTATATAGTTCTTGGAATTCTCCAGGTCAGAATATTGGAGTGGGTAGCCTTTCCCTTCTCCAGGGGATCTTCCCAACCCAGGGACTGAACCCAGGTCTCCCACATTGCAGGCGGATTCTTTACCAGCTGAGCCACAAAGGAAGGCAAATAATATCTGCATAATATCTGCATGATTTAATATTACCACTATGATTGTATTTTGAATAGATAAGCATCAAAGAATTTATGTTTTTGAATTGTGGTGCTAGGGAAGACTCTTGAGAGTCCCTTGAACTGAAAGGAGATCAAACCAGTCAATTCTAAAGGAAATCAACCCTGAATATTCATTGGAAGGACTGAAGCAGAAGCTGAAACTCCAATACTCTGGCAACCTGATGCAAAGAGCCAACTCACTGGAAAAGACCCTGATGCTAGGAAGGATTGAAGGCAAAAGAAGGGGACGACAGAGGATGAGATGGTTGGATGGCATCACTGACTCAATGAACATGAGTTTGGGGAAACTCTGGGAGATAGTGAAGGATGGAGAAGCCTGGTGTGCTGCAGTCCATGGGGTCATAAGGAGTCAGACACAACTGAGTGACTGAACAAAAACAACCAGTTTCACGGGTAAATTGGATACAAATCCATCTTTCAGGCTGACTACTGTAATGTTAACTCAGTTATAAAAGAGGAATCAAAGGTGGAGAGATGGCACAAGGAGAAAAAGTGGAAGAGGCTGGTATCTGGCAAGATCCTTGGAAAACTCACCTATTACAAAAACAGCAATCTACCTCAGCGTCTACTAGCATTAATGGTACAAAGTGGACAGGTGTCTCCAAAGGCCACCAAATGAGACCAGCTGGCCATGATGTCATTAGTAACGTGTGGTCCAATTCTACCATCACCAACAAAATGGCCAGTTGCTGCCCGAGGCCCTTGACATTCGTCATGTCAAAATGTTTAGAACAACCCTCCGTGGTAAGTACCAATATTATCTCCATTTCAGAAACAAGAAAACTGAGGAACAGAGACGCTCAGTACCTCGCCATAGGTCACACAGCTGTCAAGCAGCAGGGGGAGCTCCCCCTGCAAGAACTGCTGCTTGCAGGCTGCTGCCCTGCAAGAACGCACAGCATCCACGTCGCCAACAAGCCCCTTCCAAGTTCACAGACTTGGCTGTCCTCTCCAGATGGTGTGGAGCAAGGGGGGATCCCATGGGAGAGTGCCCTACAGGTGCCTGTGAACTTGGTGGCACCCAGGGCCCACTGGAGCAGCTTGGGGAGCCAGGGGCCCAGAGGCAAGGACCCAGGAGGCCCTCAGGCCCCAGTGGCCAGGGACCCTCTGCTCCAGTTGCCTCGCTAACGCGGATCATACACACTCACATCCTCTGGAGTCAGGAATCTCTGCACTGAGTCCCTTCAACAACATCTCTGCTTGAATGCTCCCCATGACGGGAAACTTACTACCTTCTGAGACAGTATCTCCATCTCTGGATGGCTCCTGCTGTTTGAAATGTCTCCCACATGTGAATTCAGAACCATCTCCCTATAGCTCCCTCCCGCTCTTTGGAACGATCATGGTTCCCCTACATCCCTTCAAATGCTGGGGTTCACATAGCCTACATCTTCCCCAGGATGAAATGTCCCCAGTGTCCCCCAAGCATTGTGATCTCCAGCCCCTCCTCACATGGGCCTTTGCCCAAATCAGAACTCCAGCCCCAATGAAACAAGCTCTGACATGACCTGGACATGTGCAGGCTGGCCTGACTGAAGTCTGCCCTGACATCAGCAACCCAGGGTGACAGGGTGCTTTGACCAGAGGAGTCTCACCTAGAAAGGGCTTCTTGGGTCGCCGGGTGGCCCCCAAAGGCTTCCTGGTGCTGTAGAGACCAGTGGTGTCCAGACCATCCCCGGGGCGCTTGGAGGCTATCTGGAGTCGCCGGGGCCAGGAGTGGTGGGTGGGCGCGATACCCTGGTCTCTGGACCCCCACCCCTCGTCTACCTAGAACACAGCTGCTTCAGCCTGTTTTATAAACGGGGCTTCTACATTTTGTAAACGCGTTTGAAGCATCACGGCTCAAGAATGTCTAAAACTGCTGATGCCGCGTGACACGATTTAGCCTCTTGGGCACGTGCTGTCTCCCTCACCCCGTGTGTGCCTACGCCGCGGCTCAAGCCAGCGCCAAGATAAGGGGCCTTTTCCCTGGACCGGGAGACCCAGGCCCCCTGCTCTGCCGCTCCAGGGACACTGGAGGCCCGGCTGGGCTCTGCGCACGTGAGGGCCGCGCAAGCGCACGCGTGACGGCGGCGGTGCGGGCGCGCACACGGGGGCGCACAGAGGCTGCGCCGGGGACTTGGGGAGCCGGCCGGGCGGCGCCCCTGGACTGCGCGCGGAGGGCGGGGGTGGGGGCACTCACAGGGCAGCGTCTCGGCGCGGCTCTTCTGGATCATTATGCAGAGCTGTAGCACCAGTTGGGGGGCGCTTTCCAGGAAGGTCTCCAGGAGGCGCAGCATGTTGACGTCTGCATATTCGTACATCATAGCCCAGTAGAAGCGTCGCTGGTGTTCCTTCTGCCGCTGGCTCTGAATCCCCAGGTACATGGTGCGGATATACCTGCGAGAGACGGGACAGAGCAGAGAGAGGGGCATGGGTTGGGGTGGCGGTTCTGGAAGGGCCAGGCCCTCCCGGGCAAACCAGCCTCCCCTCCTTGGTTCGGGGCTTTTCCAGGTGCTGGGACCAGCTCTAGGGGTTTTCCCAGCCGAGTGAGGTACTGAGGCTTCAGGGTGGGGTGGGGTGGGGTCAGGCCAGGGAAGGGGGCCTGGGCAAGTTGTCCCCTCCCCGGCCGCCGTTTGCTCATCTGTGAAGTGAGAAATGGAAGAGTGGGGCCCAGGGACCTTGCGGGCCTGCCAAGGCAGGATCACAGGTGAGCTGGGGGGCAGGTGGGCTCGCTCAAGTTCGGGGTCCCAGGGGGAGAATTCCAGTAGGGTTTTCACCTCTCTGGAGGAGGAGGGAAAGGAGTTAGCATTTATGAAATTCCTACTGGGGATCACTGGAGGGCTGCCCGCTGTGGCCTGGGGCCCGGGCGGCAGGCGGAAGTAAACCCATGTGGGACAGGCAGGCAGGGCTCACAGGCACAGGCTCCGGAGGTGGATGCGGGAGGCACCGGGAGCTGGCCGAGACTGCTGGACCCCAAACCTCATGCGTGCCCCCTCCACGCTCGGGAGAGCCCACAGTGGTGCCTCCATCCAGGTACGGCCCGGGGCTCGGCCACACAGACACATGGACCCCACTCCCTCTGAGGAAGCAGTGCGGGTGGAGGGCGCGGGCTCTCTCCTCTGCTAATTGTGGGGGCCTGGACTAGTCACCCCAACTCTGTGTCTCTGTTACTTTTCTTTAACATAAGAGAGTTACAGCCTCACGAGGCTGATGGGGAGCTTGGGGAGACGATCCCAGTGCTGGCTGTGGACCCAGGCCCACAGAAGAAAGCCCCTATGTCTGCTGCAGTTCTCCCTAAACTGTAGAAGCTTTCAACAAGGGGAGGATAGGCGATATCATGTAAGCCAGACTTGGGAAGACGCCCTGGAGAAGGAAATGGCAACCCACTCCAGTATTCTTGCCTGGGAAATCCCATGGACAGAGGAGCCTGGCGGGCTACAGTCCATAGAGTCGCCAAGAGTCAAACATGACTGAAGCGACTTAGCACACACAGAAGCCAGACTCAGCCAGCGGTCTCTGGGGCCAAGCGCAGCCCAGAGAAGCTGGCAGCGCCAGGACCAAAGCAAGGTTCAGAAAGCACAGTGGGCCCAGGTAGAATCAAGATCATGCAGCATCAACTGGGGTCACAGACAACAGGACAGACTGGCATGTGCGTCCCTGGCCACCCCCTGGGAATGTGTCTTCTAAACCACCAAGCCAGAATCACAGAGGTTGAGAGCGTGTCTGACCCCTACATGGTCTCCGCTGCCCCCAGGCACCCCATCAGGGGCCCACTTGGGGGTCTGTCTCCATCGCCACTGCCAGCCTGGTCCCCGCCATCACCCCCTCTCTCTTGGATCAAAGCAGAAGCCTCCTAAGTGGCCTCCCAGGGCCCACTCTTGCCCCCAGAACAACCCACTCTCTGCCCAGCAGCCAAGGCACTTTGTCAAGATCACAGACGCAGTCCTGTCCCCAGCTTTTTCAGCCCTCCCTGACTTCCCATCATGCTCAGAAGAAAATCCCACCCCTCCCTCGGCTCCTGGGCCCTGCCTGCCCCCCAGCCTCATCGCCTGTTATCTCGCCAAACATTCTGGTGTCTTGTGTCTCTCTCACAGACACGTGAGCTTGTCTCTGTTCACACCGTCCCCGGGGGGCCTGTGGAAGAAGGGAGACTCCTGCCCCCAGGGCTGAGTCCCCCCTGCACTGTCACAGCATTGCGAAGGCAGCCCATTTCCCCAGGTACACTGAATTTCTAAGAGGCTCCCAGAGAGGGGCTCTGTACCCCCCTCCTTGAAGCAATGGGAAAAGTGGGCATTGCCCAGGAACCTCGTATGGAGTTTACAGCAGCCCGTGCTTTAGAAGCAGAGGTGAGAAAACGTACATTTGCAAAATAATATAAAACTACAGTGATGCTCCTATCTAAGTCCAAACTGGTGGGCCTCCTACCTATGGAGAAGACCTCGAAGAAGACCCATGGGGGGGCTGAGACAGACGCCTTATTTCCTGCATATACACTCCCTGGGGTGAGCAGAGAACAACCCTGGGGAGGCGCTGCAACAGGCATGGTGTCAGGCTGGAGTGAACAGTGCGCGGCTGCCAGCCCCACCGGGCACCGCTGCGGGCCAGGCATCTCCCGAAGGTCCTGCCACGCCCTGGGGAGCAGCTCTGGTTACCATCACTGAACACCAGACAGAAGCTCCAAAGTGAAGCAGGGCGCTGACTCCTTGCCTGTTCCAGGTTCTATCACTCACCGGCTGCGCCGCCTCCTGTGAGTCCCTGCCTCTCTCCAGGCCTGTCTGTAAGTTCCCCGAATCACGGGCCAGGGCAGAGGCAGGCGGGAGGACGGGGTGGGGGCGCTGGTGGCTGACCTGACCTGGAAAGCTGCGGGGTCACTGAGAGAGGAGCAGAGACCGAGAGACACGAGAGACGGCCACAGAGAGGGACGGGGGAGACCCTGAACAGGGAAAGGGACGAGGGAGAGGGGAGCTATGTCAGAACCGAGGGCCTGAAGGAGACCGGCTAGACGAGGTGACCGTAGCCACAGGCTGGGCGGGGGAGGCCGCTCTAAGGACCTGTGGTCCCAAGTAGTTGGAAGGGGCCGGGGAGCCGGACTCCAGAGCCCCGGGCAGAGGGGACGGTCGGATCAGGTCGGATGAGGTCGGATGGTGGCCTGAGGGGACAGCGCAGGAGGGGACGAGGGTGCCCTGGTGAGTCCAGAGGCTCCGCACAGGCACCCAGAATAGCCACGTGGCCCGAGAGCCTTGGTGCCGTGGGTCTCCCAGGTCGGATATGGGCTCTATGCTCCTAAACTCCTCTCTGCTCAGCTGTGGCGCCTGCAGGGCGCACTGCCGGGGCCCAAGCCTCCCTCAGGGGCCAGACCACAAAGCTCTCCTCTCTCAGGTCTGCTCTCAGACCTCAGCCTCTACCTCCCCCAGCCTCACAAGGGGGCCCCATGGGGGAACGATTCTGTATCACAACCCAAGCCTATCTATGCATCCAGGTCCCCAGGCGAGGTAACACCAACACTCAGGTTCACCCAGGTCAGCCTCGCCAGGGCAAAGGGAGCTCTTGATCTGCCCTTCCACGCCCCTGTTCCCCAAGCCACTAGCCCCCATGTCCAGCATGGCCAGAGAAATGGAATACAACGAGCCCAGAACGCATTGGTTCAACCATAACACCTGCCAGAGAAACCAAGCTTGCCTCCATGGTAACATCCCAAGATACGGGAAGAGATGAAGGTAGGAGCCACTCCCCACCCATAAGCAGACAGATGCTCGAAGCCCCATGTGCACCAGGATCAAGTCTGAGACCAAAAATGGTTATCATGCCTCCTGGGATGCCAGCTCACATAGCCTGCCGCCTGGAGTAGGGGCTGTATCAGAGCCCAGTTCAAAATTCCCCATCAAGGGCCTTCTACCCAGTCCTCTGGCTCCTGCGCCCTCCTCTTCTGTCCTCAAGTCCCTGGGTCCCTGGTAGACCTTACAGAATCCAGAGCGGGGTCTTGATGACCTCTGGGGAAGCCCAGCCAGCAGCCTCTTCTTGCTAAGCCGTCACCCCTGTGCAAAGCCAGCCATGGCCAGGGCCACAAGGTGGCGCCAGACCCTAAGCCACGCAGGAAGGCTGCTCCTCCGCACCGTGATCTCATGCCCAGCCGGTGGCCTCCCAAGGCCTGCACCTTTCAATGCAGCAGCGTCGGGGTGCAAGGGGGCGGCTGGCCAGGCCGAGGGGCAGTCCCAGATGTGCCACGTCCCCACGAGAGAGCATCTGCAGGAGACACAAGGTGGGCTGCTGCTCCCTCACCTTCTCCCTCTCCCCAGCAGGTTCCAGAAAGCTCACCTCCCCCAGAAAGGTGGTTTGGGAGGAAAAACATCCAAGTCTCCTCCTCCTGACTGGCTTCCACCTGGATTCTGTGTCACCTGCTGTCACACTATTTCTCTCCTAAGAACATTGGATCATGAAAGGCACGGATCTGCAGGCAGGCAGGCAGCTGTCCTTGTGGGGCGAGGACTCAGGAAACCGGTGTCTGGTATGAGGTCCGCGGGGCTGCTCGACCTTGGGCAATTCACCCATCACAGAGGGGCAGGCCGAAGAAGGATCCTTTGATTAACTCCATCCCTCTCTGGCTTCTCAGAGCCTAGGGAAGGGCCAAGCCTCTTGACAAGTAACACCAGTGTTTGTGTGGCGCTCACATGTGACTGCTGTGAGTAATGTGAGAATCTTTAAGAGAAAAACAAAGTCTACCAAACACTGGAAGTAGAAATATTGATAGCATCAATTCTATGCACTCTTTTCCCAGAAAAATAGAGGAGGAGCGAATACTTCTGTGTTCACTTTATGAAGTCAGCCTTACTCTATTACGTGAAGTCAGACACGTACCACACAAGAAAATAAAACTACAGACAATATCTCTTATAAAAGTAAAGTGTTAGTCACTCAGTCATGTCCAGCTCTTTGCAACCCCATGGACGGCGGCCCACCAGGCTCCTCTGTCCATGGAATTCTCCAGGCAAGAACACTGGAGTGGGTAGCCATTCCCTTCTCCAGGGGATCTTCCCTACCCAGGGATAGAACCTGGGTCCTGTGCATTGCAGGCAGATTCTTTACTGTCTGAGCCAGCAGGAAAGCCCCATCCCTTATAAACACAGATGCAAATACCTTTAACAAAATACCAGCAAATCAAATTCAGTGATATGCGGAAAAATAGTATTTGATAGCCAACTGGAGTATATTTGGGGAATGTAAGGCTGACTCTATATTCAGAAATCAATTAATGTAATTAATGATATTAAGAGGTAAAACCACACACTACATTAACTGATGCAGAAAGAAAGCATTTGACAGAATTCAACATCCACTGATGATTTAAAAAAAAAAAAAAATCTCTCAGCAAACCAGAAATAGAAAAGAGCTTTCTTAAC